TAACATGAACCAAACTGCTGTGTTCTGTTTGGACTTGATCCAGGTGAGGAAAGGAGGTGGACAAATATTAACTGCACGTTGACAGTCTAAAGACATGTCAGAATATTTCATATTTGCGATATTACTTATTGTTTCCTATGCCTTAAATGGATTAAACACTGCATAACACTGTGGATCCGCTAACTCCATATTTTGCCCCAAATCACTTACATCAGCCTCACAACAACTCCTCTAACTCTATACTAAAACATTTTGGTGACCAGGTGATTTTATTGTCGCTCCGTCCTGCTCTTGTAATAATTTCTCATACTGCATTAAGTCCTTCTAAACCATGGACTATTCTATATCAGGTTTAAAGACTCCTTCTACTGGAAATGTGACCGAAGTTCTGAAAGTAAGCTTGGATAATATCCTTCTTGTTGTTGCCTTTTACAGTTATTTTAATAATGCAAACACATAATGTGGCAAATACTAACCAGACTGCTGCAACTGTTTAACTATTTAGATGCATGCCTGAACATTTAGCTCTATAAAGATCAAATCAAATCACTTTAGAAATTCCTTACTCAAATAGAAACAGGGAGGCTGCATAACGTTTAGCTGTAACTGTTGTCTGCCCGATAGTCTAAATGCAACATGGAACCAAAAATACTTAATTTAGAGTGAAAGCAACATAATTTACGGTTAATGATGGTAACAAAAAGACATTGTTGTGTATGGATTACTTTCAATACTTTTATAATTTGAAATGGTAATTATGGCAATCTACAGGACAACAATCTTTGAATTAAGCATTTAGTATCTGCCTAAATATTTCCTGCAATTGAGGGGAAATTTTTTATGTGGCTTTAGGGCATGACATTTACAGGAAACACAGCTAGATGTACTGACTACAGCTCCCAATAATTACACTAAGAGGATACATTTTTGACTTCTGATCAGACTTTGTATCCTGGGAAACTGAACTAGTGATTTTCCTTTCCTGCCTACAGACCTGCAAGTAAGATGTGTATATATATTTATAAATTAGGGTAAAGTTGTGACAAACAGACACTAGCCATGGTGACAGTGAGGATAGTCAGTCCAGCACTGTGTGACAGAAGGGTCGAGAAGGTCAAACTGTGAAATCAGTGACCCACTTTGTCTACATGGTGCCAGGAGAGCCAGAGTGGACACATGCTAATAACAGGATATTAAATCGTAAGAGGAAATTATTGTTCAAGCTATGTTTAATATACAGCCGAAACTTAAACATTGAGCAAGCATTGTGCAGAAAGCTACGGGGTGTTAATTCAATATATCAGTTAATATATGCATATCGATGCATCAAATAAACAAATATAGACTAAATGACTTGATGATGGTTCGGCTGTTGACATGCATTATGTGAGCAGTGCAGAGCCCGGACAGGCTGAGGGAGCTGCTGCTGGATGTGGACTGACCACTGGCTGCTGCTTGTCGTAAACAACTCGCAGAGAACAATGGGCAGGGTTGGGTTTACTTTATCCGATTATAACAACATGCAGGCATCTTTCCTCATGCACATCCAGAATATATGCAATCCTCATATGAACACGCAGATACAATTACGACTTAATGATTACACCATCAGCATCTACAAAATCCATCTACTGGGTCTTTCCAAAAACAAGTCAGTCCCAGCGCTGAGAGCTAACGTTAGCTGGGAGCAGCGACCACCACTCGGTCGGCGATTCATCTCGCCTGTCCGCCGAGTCTAATCGGTGGAAAAGCAAGCCGAGCAGCCTGTGTTCAGTAAAACAAGTCATGTGCGTTGAGATCCGCTGAAAGAAAAATGCATTAGATGTAAAAAATTAGACCTGTTTACCTGTTAGAGTAGCTGCACTCCACAGGGCGCCGCCATCTTGAACACCTCACAGCCCATCCCACCGCAGTCAGCCTCCGCTGTCGGGCTGCATGCAAAATAATCCCACAAGTTAGCGCCCGGTGAGTCGCTGCCGCAACTTTTACAACTCAGTCACGGTAACAGCATCTAGTAGTTACTCCGTTAAATCAGCTCTAAAAAACACAGAAGTAGTAATTGTATCTATGCGCAAACCAATTCTTTCCTATTCTGCAGAGCTAAGATTGTTTTTTTTCCTCATCTCCCCATTGGTGGAAGGATGAAGTGAGTGTAATGCGGTTTCGCGTGACCCACATGTGAAGAGCGCATGCGCATAATGGATTTTGTTTTTTGACAAGGCAGTAGCGGGCAGTAGTTGACAGATCAATAAAGAAGCCGATATCAGCAAAAACAAAAAATGAATTCAATTAAATTAGACACAATGAAAAGTAAGTGAAACAATCTAAGAATAAATGAAAGGTAGACATAAAGATAAACGTGACAAAACAAACACCTTCAATTAAAGTTTTAAATTAAAACATTTAATTTAATTGATATTCTATTAAGTGGGGAATGCACATCCTGAGAAAGTTAATTGATATTTGAAGTCATCTGCCAAACAAATAGATCCCTCCCTCCAGTACTACTTCAATAATATTATGATAAACTTTATTTATAGGCTTTAGCACTTTTTTTTTCAAAGCTCCGCCCCTAATTAATTTAGCTTATTTCAAGGAAAAATACCATAAAAAACTAATAACAAGTAAATATGTGTACCTTTCTTTCTCTGAATGTAAAATGTTACCTGTCAAGAGTCAGGAGTAAAACCCTGACTCAACAAAAAATACACTTAAAATATAATAACTTTGACTATCTATAAAAAACTGAATACAATTTTAGGAAAAAAAGTCAAAATTGTGACTAACTATCTTACAGTTTTGACCTACCATGAGTATTTCAGTATTTGCAATCTCATCAATTTTGTCTTTTTCAGACAGACTTGTACTTTCATACCTTAAGTAATAACACTAATTCTAAGTTTTGTCTAACACTGTATTTTATTAGCTATAACATGGCCACTTGAGAGAGGACCTTTGTGGTTCTTCTTGGTCTTCTTGTTTTGTATCTTGCTTGTATTGAATTGTTATCATTGTTGCAGTTATTATTTATGTCATTGTCCCTTTTCTGTTTCTTTCTCAGATGTTTAACAATGTAATTTGTGTGGATTTTAATTTCATCTTTGTAAGTGTGGATCCCAGGAAGAGTTGCTATACTTTGGACCAATGGGGATCCAAAATAAAAAATACAAATTATTTTACATACTCATAAAGCAATCCTATTTTAGCATCAATGTCATTGATTAATGCATATTAACAGTTTATTTGAGATAAAAAGGTTTAGCTGCTGGCCTGATGTGTAATTGAGAACTATAGTCATTTCTCCCATTCTTTGAAGGAGTTTTCCTGCTGGTTGTTTATTTAGCGGAAAGCTTGATCCGGAAATCAACTTAAAATGTTTCTCTCGTGTCTATTGGATTCTACCATCTGTAGGGGGGAAAACACTAACATTTTATTATTGTATCCAGCCAAACAGAGAGTAATGGTTATTTTGTTTGTAATTCAACATAAATACAAAAGTTTTATAATAATGGAACAGGGCAGGGTGTCATGCATGAATACAGCTAACATATTTAACAACAACAAATGTAATCACAAACACAACAGCAGTGTGATATGTGTGTGATATAATCAGCCACATATCAAGCATAATCAACTCCATGTCGACACACTTCAGTGAGTGCTGCTGCTGTGTTGATATACTGTATTTATTTATTCTATCAGTAGGGATAGATACAAAAAACACCAAAAGTACAATTGTTCCTGTAAAAAAACAAAAAACAAACTTTACATGACATAAACAGCCTGTAAAATAAGTTGAATTTATATGGAGAATTACTTGACCTTTTTATGGTCCTTAACTGTATCAGACATATTTTAATACAGACTCCTGCAGAAAAAGGTTTGTTCAGGTCACTTTTGTTCGGATTTTTACACACAAAATTATTTTTTTCTTATAGTTTGGTGAATCATATATTTATGGACCACAGAAACAGAACAGGAATTCCCCTTTGTGTACGGTCCATCGTTTGTTTATGAGTAGGCTTGTACATGTTTCCTTTTAAAATCATAATAAAAACATGCTTTAATATTATTCCTAAATCTTATGAAATACTCTCAAGTCATACACCCATTCTAGAGTGAAGATACACACTCCGTCCACCAGATGTCGCTGTTGTGTTTCTTTCCCTATACAAATCATCACCTCCTCTTTTAAATGTCTCTTCATTCTTCCACTCTGATGTTTTCAAACGCTTTAAGAAGCCGACTTTATTTTTCCTAAACAATTTCTTCCAAACACAACGTATCCACCTGTTTTTGATTTTTGTTTGATAATTGGTCCCACGATTTACCAAACTGCGTGACACAAAATCATCATGTGAAGAAATCTGTCACGGCTGAATATAAATATGCTTTAATAAATATAGACAGAGTCAACAGTGCTAATCTCCCAGACTGGTTTGGTGTGTGTTTTGGTGTGTGTTTTATCGATGTGCTACAGTCTCATGATCTGCTGGTAAAAAATCTAGCACACAACATGGTCATACACACACATTACATTACTTGAAATCCTGTAAATCAAACATTGCGAGTTTGAAATATGTGGAAGGATTTTATTGAAATTATTATCGTATTTTCCGATTTTTATTTCAAATGTTTAGGTTAAATTAAGTAGAATTGAAACACCGTTGTTTGTCATAGGATATTCTGTTTTTAAAGATGCGCGCAAATGAGCCACATCATTGAATTTGCATAAATTAAGTCTTTAGTTTCTCAGTTTAAATGAACTTCTTCATGATGATAGCCTATAGGCTTTCTTGAATGTTCAAAGTTAGCTTTTGAACGTTACTTTACTTTGCCTCGGAGCTCTGGGTGTTTCTGTGTAACTGGTCCAGGGACAGCTCAGGCCCTGTGTGTGTGTTTTTCTACGCAAATTTGCAGGTCGGCCTTTTCATTGGCTGAAAGCACAGTCAGATTCTCCTGCGGAATTATCTGATTGAAAATCAGGGAGGGGAGAAAAAGAAAGAGCAACAAGTGTGATGGTGTTACACTGCTTTGCTTTTCGGACTTTTAAGAAAGGATTTTTTTTTTGCGACGCATTAACCTGAGTTGAGCTGATTCACACACCCCCCTCAAAAAAAAAAGGATAATAGGCCTTTTGGTTTATTGGAAGCTAACTTCAAGTTTCACTTCGACGGGAGGCTGCTCAGTTAACGGTGAGTGTTGAATGTGAAATAATGTGTTAAGCCAGCTGGAGTAAACTTTTTCTAAGTTTTAGGCCTATTACTTATATATGTTAAACGAACTAATTTAGCTAAGAACGAATTTAACAGAGATTAAAAAGCCTTATTGAAGAAAAAATAATTATTGCTGTTTGGCTACTAAGTGCGTTAGTTTAATTGCCATGGATAGATAATGAAAAATGTAATTATAACTTAGTGACCAACTAATTATTGCGTGATACAACGTTGTTTAAACATCAGATTCGCCGAAAATTGTGTTTTTTAAAATGTATTTATTATTTTACCATACACTAACAAAAGTTAGCCTATCAATAGGCTACTGAATTGACATCTATGCGCCATTCAAAAATGGAATTTAGGCATTTCTGCGTAAGCTTAAGGCCTATATTTATTTATTATTACAGGATCATCATGCCGCGGTCATTTCTGGTGAAAAACAAGAGGTTGCCTTCCCATAATATTCACCGAACATATGAAGAGCCGCAGGAGCCCACATGTAGGCCGACAGGTAAGAATGGGGAATACAATTCACATGTCTTATCTGAGTATGAGAGCGAGAGGACAGTTCAATTAATGCTAAGACTTTTTACCTATTTTTTTATTTATCAATTAAACAGCTGTGTTTTGAAAATGTGCTTGACTTTTAATCAAGCCAGATTAAAAAAAGAAGTTGACATTCATCGTATTGTATATCAGCCTTTTTAGGTTAATTTCTGAATATATGTTTGCTCTTCAAACAAAATGTCCTCCACGGCAGGGTTTTGTTTTAATAATGTATTTACTTGCTGTCTAATCACACAGTGTAATGTCCTCTGCTTGAATCAATCACACCTTTATTTGCTGTGGATTTGTAGAAGCTCTACCAGAGGTTCAAAACACAGACTCCTCCGATGAGCATCAGTCAGAAGAGCGGTCTCCCCCTCAGGACCGCTGCTCGTTTGAGGAGGAGGAGGAGGATGCAGAGCTTGAACGCGCCTTACCTGCTCACCCAGAGCCAACCAGACCCTCTGTGGCTCTCACACAGCCGTTCTACCTAAACGGTTAGTTGAAAGTGAATTAATAAAGCCATATTTTTATGCTACATTCGAACTATAAGAGTAAATCAAAGAGGTTAAAGTCTTAACATTCAGTCTGTTTGCACTCTTAGAGCCTCATATTGCAGGATTCCCTCCGTACTACAAGCCATACGCCTGGGAGTCGGTGCCCTCCTCCTACGATCTGCGTCAGATGAGTTTCAGCCCCACAGTCCTGCAGCACGCCAGCAATCTGTATGGCACCCACTTGAGCCGCAGCCCACCACCTCAGCAGCCTCTGGACTGCAGCACCCACTACTCCCCAACATCCAACACCTACCACTGCATCACCTGTGACAAGGTACACACCTTATGTTAGATGCAATCCTGCACAGCCCGAGCAACTGTAAAGGTTTCAGTTCAATCTGTGTGTTTACATTTGTAAAGTTTCCAAATGAATCAAACCAAGATTTTAAAGGTGTGTAAATTGGTTTCCTTGTATCTGTAATTTATGAAGAAACTGTGCTTTAGGTGTTCTCAACACCCCACGGACTGGAGGTTCACGTCAGGAGGTCTCACAGTGGAACAAGACCTTTCGGCTGCAACATCTGCAGAAAAACTTTCGGCCACGCTGTCAGTCTGGAGCAACACATGAATGTCCACTCTCAGGTAGATCAAAATAATGCACAACAGATATCATTCAAAGCTTCTTACAGAAATGTAGTGGCACACTTTGACAACTTTACATCTTTGTCTGTGAGTGACAGACAAAAACAAACAGAGCAGCAGAGGGGTGGAGATATAAAGATGTTTAGTCAGAGACCAGTATGGGTTGAATTCCTACGTTTCCCATGATGCAGTTTTCATGGGAAACATAACTTACCCTTGATACCTCAATATTTTTTTGGTGGGCTGACCCATTTGACATTACTTCGGCATCACTGGGTTGTTTTCAATTTAGAGACAGCATCATTATGCTTGTTTACAATCACCTTCATGATATTGAAATCCCTGCGTCACATTCATATGTTTTAACAGCCCTGAGCAAACAGCAGAAACAACACTAATAATCACAGAGTTGTTAAGTGTTGTTTTGGAGTTGGAGTTGCTTGGTAACTTTTATTATGTGGAAATAAATTGAGATAAAATGTGCTCTGAATCAAAGAGGGAGGAGTTAGCTGTTTTTTTTTCATTAAAGTGTGTTAAACTCATGAACTGTGTGAAACATGGACGTAGTCTCAGTTACATCACCCTTTGGTTTCTGAAATAGACTTTTGAAGCCTATGGATGGCGGTCACCGAATTGGAAATGTTAACTCAAAGTAAATGGTGGTCAACCTAGTAACAGGCAAAGATTTGGAGCTGAGGCTAAGACTTAAGTCTCCTGACAAACAGCTACAATGTGCCCGCCCATATGTCAGTCAGATCAGCCACGCCTCTTATTGTCAATAACTCTTATCCTTCGTAAAATCAAATAAGAAAAGTTGTGAAAGATTCACCCCCTCTACAGTGGAGGTCTTAACTATTCAGACCAAATACTTTTTGAACCAGACTGTAAACATGTTAATGTCTGCTGTAAAAATGGGCATTTTAGAATGTGGTTGTATGAGACTTTGGTGCCTCAAGTGGACAATCAAGGAATTGCAAGTTGTTTCACTTAATTTATCAACACTGGAGGTTAACGCTCTGTTTAATGGCACATATTGATTTTGTATCCCTTTAATTGATAAAAGGTTATTTTAACTGAATCCACGCTATGACAGGATGAGGTTTTGCAATATAAAAGTGACACTTCTTACCAAAAAACTTAACAAGGTTCTTTTAGAAGTTATTTTGGAGCTTTTGCTCATGTCTCATGATCTTACACAAAGACAAAAACACATATTCATAATCCCATTCTTTTTATGGACTCAAAGGTTTTTTTGAATCTATGTTGAGCTACAAACTGAAGAAAATGCTCCGATGACCACTGGGCTAACTCTATATGCTGTTATTAGATTGAAAGCATCTTTGCAGAGAGATGTTATTGACTAAAACTGAAATATGGAGCTCAGCTTTCTGACATCCTGCTCTTCCTTCTGATAAATGTGTAACACTTAATGTTTCTTTGTCTTTAGGAAAAAAGCTTTGAGTGCAAGATGTGTGGCAAAACATTCAAGCGCTCCTCCACCCTCTCCACACACCTGCTCATCCACTCAGACACGAGGCCGTACCCCTGCCAGTACTGCGGCAAGAGGTTCCACCAGAAGTCCGACATGAAGAAACACACATACATACACACAGGTGCGTCGCAGTGTGCAGATTATTTTTTACAGCAGGTCAATATATGTTTTATGACCCTAAAATAAATTAAAAAAAGTCCATGTCCCCACTTGCTGCTTTCCAAGTGCAGCATGCAGGAATTGTTTCCAGGAGTAATATAACTGCTGATAAATCACAAAAAGAAACTTAAACAAATGTCCTGTGGATTTGCATATCTGGTTTTCCTGCTTCTCGCAGAGCTCTGTAAAAGGACGCCTATGCTGTCCACATTTGTCATCAATAAATGTTTGACAAATCTGAACAATGGCATGATTCTTCATCTGTAGATATCAATGCAAATTAGGTTTCTGCAAAAAAAAAGCTCCATCTATGGAAAACCTGATTCCCGATAATCAGTGACAAAGTAACTGCAGTATCAAAATGATCTAAGATTTAATATGAGTTTCTGACTGTTTTTGCTTTCTTCTTCTGTGTTTTTTATTTGCAGGTGAAAAGCCGCACAAATGTCAGGTGTGCGGTAAAGCCTTCAGCCAAAGCTCCAACCTGATCACCCACAGCAGGAAACACACTGGCTTCAAACCGTTCGGATGTGACATTTGTTCCAAAGGCTTCCAGCGTAAGGTGGATCTCCGCAGGCACCACGAGAGCCAGCACGGCATGAAGCCTAAACTCTAGTGTTTCTGGGAGATATAAAAAAAAAATTCTGTTTCAACTATATGCAATTAAGGATGTTATCCAGATGTCTAGCATGATGCGGATGGCGTTTCCATATCAAGCTGTGGAATGAAATTCCTGATTGAAGGCAATCTGATAAAATACCAATTCAACCTGTGCTATGAAGAATTTGAGAAGTTGATTCAAATGTATTGGTTAATACATTGTAAGTTTCCCTTAAAGTTACGTTTGCCTGTCGATGAATGGAAGATTTTCCTGATGTCTTATTCATTTAAAATATGCAAATTGGCTGGTGAAGATGAAAAAGCACACAAGAATGTTTAATATAGTTTTTTTTGTATAAAATTATTTATTTATAATATGCCTGAGCACTGTCCTTTATATTTGCTGAAGAAGCTTATGTGTGTGTTCTGTAATTAAATGTGAAGGAAGAAGTAATCTTTGGAATAAAGTCCTGCAAAGCCACACAGAATAATGTCCTTCCTACCTGAATTTCAATACAAGCTCACTGTTTGTCTAAGACGAGCACTGTAAACACACTTTTCTCAAAGTTTCTGTGTGTTTTTCTGACTCACTTTCCTGTCGGAGCAGGATGTAGAGAGGATGTGACACTGGCCTCAGGTGAAAATCTCTTGCGGGACCAGAGATAATGCTGCTACGCAGTTACCCTGCATTCAAATAACACTCCTGGAACACCATGCAAATCCGAGGTCAGAGAGCTATTCATACCTGAGAGTCGACTAGAAAGCAAAAGGACAGTTTATCTGGGAGGTATGTCGGCTGTGTTTTCATCATCCTTGTTATTACACATGAGGCAAAGCCAGCTCTATAATCTCAGTTAAAAATCAGAAGTGAACAAACTATCAGTCTATATCAGAATGCTTTCTGGCCCTCCCAGTGTTGCTGCACTGACTTTACACTGTGTGGAGTCGAATGGGATACAGGGATTATTAAGAGGCTGTGGAAATGGATTGATTACTTAGTCAACCGTCACCACACCCAGCCAGCACGTCAAGATTTACTTCCACAAACAAATGGCAGCTCTGAAGAAGACTCACCACCTTCCTCAAACACCAAACCTGTTAGGACATTAAGCCGCCTGAGGCAAATCAGATCATCACCTGAGCCCTCTAAATCTGGCTAAAGGAGGTGTCAGGATTATTCAACATGTTTTAAAGATACGAGTTAAAGCTCCTCTCATTGGTTTTAGCCTCAAATCAACACTGATGCCTCAATATGACCTACACAAGCAAACCAGATCATCAGCGACATGCATGATTGTTTCTGTAGAGTTGCTCTATTAATGTCTGTAAACTGTTGTAGGGTAGGTGTCAGACAAGAGGGTTAACAAACAAACAAAACGGCCTTTTTACATGACCACATTCACATTGGTGCATTTAATTGTTAAAAGACAACAGAATAAGATTTTTAGTATCTGAAAACACGATTGACACATGTTACTTACACAGGACATACTCTGTCACAGGGTTTGCCAAAATCAACACAAACCTAAAGTTCCTCACTGGAGCTTTAAACCACCTCAGTTACATCATGATAACAACACTTTTTTTCAACTTAGTAGATCCTTAACAGGATCCTTTAAAATGTACGTAATCCGGGGCACTGTTGGCGGAGTGGTTAGTGCGCGCTCCCCAATGTATGGAGGCTATAGTCCTCAAAGCAGGTGGCCCAGGTTCAAATCTAGTCTTTCCCACATGTTGTTCCCTGCTCTCTCTCCCTGATTTCCAGCTGTATCCACTATCCTATCTCGCCATTAAAGCCACAAAAAAAATTAATGTAGTTTTGTACTTTTTGCCTTCACTGCTGAAGAGAGACAGTGAATGTTGAAAGGGGAGAGTGGGGGAAGACATGCAAAGAGCTGAGGTCAGATTCGAACCCTTGGCCACTGCGACGAGGACTACAGCCTGGAGATGGCGCGCGCGACATAACTGCTATGCTATCGGTTACCATTGTGTGTTGTGAAAGTTGTTGCTTTTATGTAAGGATATTGTGTTTCCTGGAATGTCTTTGTGTTTCTGAAAAGTCGTTGTGTTTCCTGACATGTTGTTGAAGCTTAATCAGAAATGTTTTATGAGATGTTTTTTTTGGTGTTTTTTCATTGTGTTGTGTTTTATTCCAATTCATGTTTAGTCGATATGTTGATTTGTTTTGTTTTGTGTTGTGTGAAATGTTAATTTATTTTTAGAACGTTGTAATTCTGTAAAAAAAATATAATTAAGAGGCCTTGTTTTGTTTTAACAGTTTTTATGTTTTATGAAATATCTTGTTTCATGAGAAGTCTGTGTATTGTTAAATGTTGTGTTTAGACCTTCAGGGCCACCATAATTCACTCACATGCACTCAGCAGAGCATTAGAAAAAGGGCAAAAAAAGATGAGAGGATAATTTCAGCAAAAAGCGCATGTGTTCAATTCACCAATTTTTGTGTCAAAGGGAGTCGCTGCTGCTGAAATCACTGTCTGTACATGTGGAGAGAGAGGAAACATGAAGGCTTACTGTCTGGCAAACAAATCAGAGGTCTTTATGCAAAACATGTTGGTATTACCAGGGCAACAGGGTCCGTTGTGATCCCTCTGCAACAGTTAGACTGTCGGCAGCAGGTGCAACATCCTGGTGCTAATGACACAGCAAATCAAAATCCTGCACAGGTTAACCAACAGTATAGGAGAGACAGAGCGGATCATCCTGGGCGGGACTAAACAAACAGGACACAGGTCCTGGAAGGGGAGGGGAGAACCTGCGGGGACAGCCTGGGGAAAAACGGGGGGAATTGAAGAAAGCGTGCAGGTTATAATTATAATACACCTGAAACATTTCTAGAGTACAGGTGCACGAGAGTAAAACACTTAATGTTGTGCAGGTATTTTGATTTTCTAACAACGTCAGACACAGTAACAGATGAGGACTCTTTTTGAGTGTTTGTGTTGTTGCTCAGTGGTTGTTCATTTGCATGCGTGTTGCCTGGGGTGTTGCTTATCCTGCAAGCTGTACATTTACTTGATTTTCCTCTAACTGTCCTTTTCTAACAGCTCCACACGTGTGCACAGAAGTATCATAGAAATACCTGTTTACAGTGCATCAGATATTCTTTACATGACTGAGATATACTGGCTCAACAGAAGAGAAAACAATAAAATCTATTAATCAAAACCGAACACATCTTTTTCAAGCAGCAGAGACCAACCAACAGCTTTTGAAAAATCAAGACTCAAACATCTGAGTTGCATCTCAAAATCCGAATCTAAATGTAACACGGTCTCTGTAACACAAACACACTCACATACCTGGCAAAGACGCACAGAGCTGAAATTTGTCTTGCAAATTGTCTCTATGCAAATAAACCCCGGCCAGTACAGGATGTAGAGATGGCTGAACACGCCTGAGGCCTCCACAGCACATTCATGGAAGACAGAGCAGGAGATACCCAAAGAGGGCCACACTTTCCCTGAGAGAAATGCCACAGGAGTCTGAGTCATCTCTTTTGTTTAAACTTGTAACTCAAACTGGCTCTTGTTTGGGATGGAAACATTATCAGAGAAAATCACTTTTTCAGTTCTAGGACACAGATTCATTCTCCTGTTTCTGCAGTTATCTGATTCCAGATTGAGTGTTTCAGCAGTTCAGGATTCAAAGTGTTTGTCTTTAACGTCTCTCAGTGTTTAATAAAACATCTGACACATAAACCTATTCTTTCCTAAGTATGGTTGCATGGGACTGAGCAGCGTGGTAATGCTCGTCCCTTAAAAACGCAGGAAAACCTGTTCAATTGCACCTTTCAAATGGAACAAGGTTCAAATGTTAATTCAAGAAACAATGTTAAAAAACATTTAAAGGAATATTGTTGACTATCTGAGACGGTTCAAATTTGAAAACCAATCAGGGTGTGTTTAGCTATTTTTAAAATAATAATAATTGACAAAGATTTGATTCCCCTGTTACAAAAAGAAACAGAAGAGGACAGAAAAGATGTGGGTGCAAATCATAGACTGTATAAAACATAGTCTCCGTGACATCACTTTTTTTTTTCTGATGACAGTTACCATATTGGAAATGAAACCTCCATTTACTTTCAGTCGACCTAGCAACAGGCAGAGAGGTGGAGCTGAGGCGGGTCTTTGCCCTCCTGGCAAGCAGCTACAACCCCCCCCAAACAGAACTCTTAGCCTTAAGATATTCAAAACGGATGAGAAGAATAAAAAATCATCCCCTGTACAGTGTGTGCCAATAAAGACATGAAATATTCAGACTAAAACCGGCTTTTGAATTAAATGTTTTATGTTCACATTTTTATTTCTTCTGTGTAAATGGGCATTTTAATTTGGGCGTTAATGGGACTTCTGGGCTTTTGTAGCCCATTTTTTTTAAACCATATAAAAGATTTAAATAAACCAAAAAGTTCTATAAAAGGAACAGACTAACTATATCTCCTGTTTGTGGTGCCAAATATGTCTATTTCACTATTTAATGATGCACTGTGTGAAAGAATATACATTTAGATGTAATATTTACTACAGTCAAGCAACAAGATAATTGAAAAAAACAAATTAACCAAAGAGAGCAGCAAAATTCTGTTTGCAAAGTCATCAAGATGACATGCAAGAGATCCCTCACTTTGTTTTGGAGACAGGCAGAAGCACAAAAAAAAGAAACATAAAGTGTCAGCAGGTTTCCGATGTATGACGGGACACAGGAAGGAGCTGTATGATCACTTCCTCCGCTGTCACACGTTGTGGGGATGTGATACTGTTTGATTGCCAGTGACACTGTGTTGTTGTGGTCAAACACGTCTTGTCCTCCCATAGATTAGCTCAAAAGAGGCCCCACCCACAAAGTGTCATACAAGATAGACAAGATAAAGAAGAGTAATAATTTCCTGAGGTTGCATTTTCTAGGACTTCAAAGCCTACTTCACACATTGGCAACACAATCTGGTGCTTTTAATTTACATGCAGCCTGTTTTAAGAAGTGCTTCAATGCAGGAAACAGGGAAAAGAGTCGAGTCTAGTGCTTATGACGATTAATGATAAGCGGATAATTATCACGCTGTTGATTGGTCTACCAATTTAGTCTAGACTGAAATTTCAACAATGAATGGATTATCATGAAACTGTGTACTTTATCATGATCCACAGAGGATGAACCCCTAAGTTATGGCGCTTTCACACATGCACATGTAACAAAAAGTTTTTTCGCGGGATGAGCTGCATGTGTGAATGCTAACAGCTGTAATTTACCCTCCTACTCCTCCACCTGAAACTTTCACTGCCAGCACCCTAGTACATTTTCTGCAGGGAAGTCAGGGTGACCTGATGTGAGAACACTGCAGAAAACAAAATTCAGGAAAATTCACTTCGAGTGAGTAGGAGGGAGTAGTGATGTTAATATCCTGCCACCGACGCACAATCGTAGAACATAATGAGAGAGAATGTTCG